GAATAGTTTTGGTAATGTATTCCTCAAAGTGAAGCCGACTGAGAATGAAGTGAAGAGGTAGGAATGTGACTTAGAAAATGGACAAGCTGAAGAGTTTGTTTTACATCTAGACAAACTTTCTCGATAATATTTTGAGAACTGTATTATTCAAATATATTTATTATTTTTGAAATACTAACTTCTATACAACAAATTTTCTCTTGCAATTTAAATGCAACAGTCAGTTCAAAGCATTTTTAAATAAGCAGCCGCACTTATATGCTGCCCCAAACGGGCCAAATTGGCCCGAATAATACCCACTTGCATGCTCGACTGGCCTTATGTCGCAGGCGACTCCATTCCATACCACAGGAACAAGAAACACCCGGATAAGTGAAAGTCTGGAAGGGCGGGAGCGAGAGAAACTTGCAGAGAAAGAGAGAGCCTGGAGGTGAGACGAGCTCGAGGAAGAGGAGTTACTAATGGCTATGGAGTCTCTGATCAGAGTGCCTCCGCTAACCACTGCCGGTAAAAGTGGCGCGGATGGCCTCCTGAGTTCTTGGGCTTCGCCGTTTCGGAGAAGCCGCGTCAGCTTCCGGAAGAGGCAGCTGATGACGGTGGAAGCGAAAGGAAAGAGAGGAGCCATGGCTGCACGCCAGTTTCAGCGCGCTCCTCCTCCCCCTCTTCCTAAGATCGAAGACGATGGCAACCCCAAATTCGTCATCTTCATCCGAACCGCTAATGTCCGTATTCCGAACGTCTCTTTCCTCTTTTGCTGCCTCTTCTTTATTTTTTTCCTCGAATTAAGTGGAAGAATTTATTGGCAGAATACTAATTCCATGCAGAGAAGAGTGAAGCGAAAATTATCTTCATCCGAACCGCTAATGTCCGTATTCCGAACGTTTCTTTCCTCTTTTGCTGCCTCTTCTTTATTTTTTTTCTCGAATTAAGTGGAGGAATTTATTGGCAGAATACTAATTCCGTGCAGAGAAGAGTGAAGCGAAAATTACTAGTTGGTGGAAAAGAATGGAAATTGTATTACAGCTTGAGTAGAAATTTATAATTTACAGTTTTGAAGATGGTTTGAACTTCATCATCTTGCTTGCGCGCGTCTGTGCACTTCTATAAGACTCGGATTTTAAGGTTAATCTCCTATTAAGGAATCACTCCAATACAATAAAAAATTAAATTAGTTAGTCTTCAGGAAAGTTGAGGTCAAGTTTACCATTGTTAGGTTTTGATTGAAATATCAATAATTTTTATGATTATATCATTCCTGAAAATATATAATTGCATTCTGATTTTGTACGTAGAGAATGATCAACCTTGTGTCTTCACTTCATTCTCCCATTTTCAAACATAAAATTGTTTATTTCCATATAATGTAGGATGTAAGATGCACAAATAGCATGTCATTGCATGAGTATTTTTTGTTATCTTGTTATCATAGTCTAGTTAAAAGGTATCCTTATTCAGCATGGAGATCTACTTTGGCATTAAATTTAAATGCTGCTATATTAGTTTTATGCTAATTTCATTTGTTCGTACTAGAAAGCCTCACAATTCTTGTTAACTTTATCAATAGGAGTTGTCATCATAATGATCAACATCATATCACCATGATGGAAATACTAATGATCAACATCATATCACCATGATGGACATCCTCATGATCATTGAGATCCTAAACATCAATAGTACTTGCATTTAGGGATTTAAGTAGGCCAAGCTGACTCGTGAGCGTTTCGGCCTCTACTTGATAAGTTGCTCATTAGTTGAGCTCGATTAGCTAACAAGCCAAGCTCAAGTCAGCCCTGACTCGACTGGTTGGCTCGTGAGCCGACTTTTTTAAGAAAATATTATCATAAGATATACTCAAAATGAATTAAATTTCAGGTCTGTATTTTTAATTATTAAAAATATATAAATTTATATTTACATTAAGAGATTTCTTATTTTTTATCTTCTAATTGATCATTTTTTTATAACATTAGTTTAAATTAATATTTTTTTTCTCTCTTTTATAAAAACAAGCCGGCTCATGATGCTACACTAACTCATAGACTTATGCTTAAGCTCGAGGTAGAACTTGATTAATTATTCAAGTTCAAGCCAATGGTGGCTTGAGCATGCTTAATTCAACTTTTTCACACTTAATGCTAAAGTATGGGTGAAGATGTGTCTAGATTTTCCTGCAATTAGGTTGACTAAATATTGAAATGTTAAGATATAACTTGGTTGAAAACAATTTTCCACAACTAAAATACAATGAAAAAAAAGGAGAAAAGGAGAAAACTAGAATCAAAAGAGATACCGATATTCATGTCGTTCAACTTTAACCAAGCCTGCACTCACCGAGAGGAGAAAGGATCTAATATAATAACAGAAGAAGTTGTATGTGCAGTGTACAAAATCGAAGAGTCACACAACCTTTTCTCGAATCTCAAGTACACCCATATTACAAATAATGTAGAAACTTCGCAATTATTCTTACAGATTAACTCACATGAAGGCTCCTTCGAATCTGCATCAATGGAATCTACAATATCCTCCTATGAAACCTTAGCTGCTAATAGTTAATATCAATGAGGAACAATAACCAGTTCCAAGATAATATTAAACCTCAAACCTAAAAGGGTAAGTCATAGAATTCTATGATTGGCTTGAGAAACAACCTAATTAGAGCACCTTTTCTTGAATTCATTCAAAACCTCTGCAACCTCATTAAAAAAGAAGTTTCTGATTCTCAAGATTAATGAACCCTACATGCATGTTGATCAATGCATTTTCCATTTTTCATTGCACAACTTAGACGGATCCAGCAAATCCTAATCCCTTAATGGATTCTCTATTATTCATATTTAGATAGTTTTCTTATGAAACTACTTTGCTAACTGAGTTATGTTTAACGATATGATTCATAATCACCATGTTATTTCAAGTCTAGATAATTTTCATGGTTTTGATTTAGTCTTAACATATTGAAAATTTTTACCTTGGCTTGGCATAGATAATGTCGTTTCAGAAATTCACTTTTCCATCTGTGATAAACTGTTCTTTATGCTGGCCATCCATGCATCCACACTCACGTTCTTTCTATCGTTGTTTTGTTTAGATGGGTTTTCCTATAAGAAATTCAACTTTAGATTGGTGAGGAAGTTCAGTGTTTCTGTTTTAGTAATAGAAATTGTTCTAATGGAGAATAAAAAATATTGGAGAATTTCAAATTCTATTCTTTTTTCTGTTAATTCATGTAATTACATCTCTTTGTGAGCAATCATTGCAAGTTTTGGGTAGATTAAACTATTTTTTGGTGTTGTTTATTATTCAACCATTTAAAGTTATGCCACTTATTCACTTCAATTATAACATAACCTTGAAATCTTAATAACGATGGCATATCGTTTCTCCTTACTGCAGTTGGCTATATTTTTTCTATTTTCTACATGAATTATATGATAAAAATATATTTTGAATTATGAAGTATCAAGAGTTTCATGATTATCTGTTATTTGAAGCAGATCTTTTAGACATACATACTTCTAATTCTTGTATCTTGTCCTTGTCATGGTTATCTATTTGGCTTTCTTCATTTGACGTGTTCATCAATTTGGTGGATTTATAGGTCTATCTGTGGTACCCACTAAGCCTAATAACTGGTGGAACTACAGCAAAAATCATGGTTGCAGCCAAAGATAACTTTCTTGGAAAGCACATTTACAAAGATACCTTAGCCAGAAACCTTGCAGCTGTTATCTACAGAGTAATTTTCTTAAATATCACTCGTTCTTGCTTTTATAATGAAATAGTTGAATGCTAGATGTGCAATGCAAACACTCTTCATTTTTTTGACCAAGCTGGTGTATCAGTACTTCTCTTGGCTCTCAGAGATATTAAGTGACAATAATGAAATCTGAATTTTATTTTCGTTTCTTGATTATGATTACCGAGTTCTTAGAGCATTATACATTGAAACGCTTTTATGGATTAACTATTTAATATTGTCTTCTGAAACTCTACTCTAGTCAGGTATTTTAATTTATTACTACACATAGTATTCTATGTGACCATTATGGGCAGGTAGGTAGGAATCAGCAAAAGTAGCACGTTGCTGTAGAAGAGAATGTTTCTAACCATCAAAACTGTCAACATCTTTTTTAATATTATACATCTTCTTGAATAACATTAATGTGAATTTTGTATAGACTGGTCGACAACTATAGCGTGTTATTCGGGGAAAAAAAAGGAAAATACTCAAGTTCTCAGGATTTTAAAATCATAGTTTTTTAACTCACAAAGATGCCTTCTATTGTTTGGTTGATATATTTTAACAGCCTCATAGTTGCCTCACTCCAAGTTCACTAATTAATTGTCTGATTTCTCCTTGAGTTATCCTCGTCTTTTTGGTCATATCTTACTTGATTTTTTTACTTAATATGTAACCAAAACAGGATGAGAAGGAAATTCAGAAGACCGCATTTAAGCAATACCGTGTTCTGAGATCAGCTAAAGAATTCAGATATGGCTACAAGCTTGTTGTAATGCTTTTGATTTGGCCTTCCGCTAACTAAGACATGTGGTTTTCCTGTTTATTGAATTGTTTGACCTTTACATCCTTAATTTTTTTCTCTTATTTTGCTACATAATCTTAGTTAATTCCAAATCATACCTCTTGCAGGAAAATAGCAACATACGTTCAGCTCTTTCCACATCTGATGTTATTGAGGTACATTCTTTTTTTCTTTTCTTTATGCTATTGTACTTGATTTATTTTCAATTGATTTGTTATGGTATGAGCCTATTGCTTTGACATGTGTATTGTCTATTAATGGATCCTTCAAATATTAAAGTCAAAATTAATGATTTGTAATGTGGTGTTGGTGATGAAGAGTATCACGTATCGATCCCATGAGGAAAGAACTAAGAAATATTCTGAAGGGAGATCTCTAGTTTACTAAGCGTCTAAACCTAGTTCAACGTAATCACACATAAGAGATGAGTTTCCAAAAATTCTACTAAAAAATAGAAACAAAATTAACAAAGGAAAGTAGCAAGTGGATAAATCTTACGATTCTTCAAGTGAGATGAGACTCGTGCCTCTGTGATTTAGAAATCATGGTGATTGTGATATTCTTAGACTTCCCCTACGTGGTAATTGTCAATTGGGATAAAAAGTTCTTCTTATGCCTATGCCTTGGTCAAAAGAAGACTAGAACCCATGAAGTTAAATTTCCTTAATCTCAATGACATTCCACATGATTATTCAGATCCCCTTTTTAGGTTGCAAAATCCTGATTGAATACGTCTATTCTTAACTGGATTTTGTGGTTAACAATTTTGTTCCTATATGCAACGAGCTGAAGTCATAAATCGCGAAATATGTTAACATCCTAATTGGTCAGATCATGAGTAAATGAAATTCGATTGTTAACAAAATATAAACATGAAATCTCAAGAAAATGTTATTGGGGAAAATATACGAGAAAACTACAAAACCACGATTCTTCCGTCACAGAGACGCGAAAAAGAACTCAACCGCTCATGTTAGATAGAATGATGAAAATCAAACCTATAGAAACCATTATTAGAAGTAAAACTAAAGTGTACAAACTCAACAAAATAATTTGTTCCCTCTTTTACAACACCAGATCTTTCTCTCATACAATCTCCTCTCAAAATCAATAAGAAAAACAGAAAAGAAAAAGAGAAGAAACAATCCTTAGGACTTCAACCTCAAGCAAGAAAGAAATCCTAAAGAAGAAGCTCTCTAATCCTTCCAAATCCTGCCTCAAGCCATCCCTAGTTGCTCCTCTCCAAAGATGCCCCTAAGTTCTCTTTTTATAACCAAAATTATCAGATTTAGCAATAAAATTTTTTCCAGAAATATTTCCGGTTTCATCGGTATGGTCATGCTGAAATCTGACGCGGACACGCCGTGCCCGATTCGGGTGTGGTCACGTCGAGCCTATGAAAGAGTGACATAGTCATGCCCAATCCGGGCGTGGTCATATCGTTGGCATCAATATTGTGGCGTGTTCACGCCAGTTCTAGCCATTTTTTCCCTGGTTTTTCTCGTTCCGCGATGTGTGCACTATCTCCTGTAACCTACACATCATCACAAAAATTTTCCTAAAGTGTGAATTCATGATAAATAAGGTAAAATAATAGGTAAAATGCTGGAAAAACATGTGAAATCACGTAAAATTGATGATAAAAAACATACCACAAACTAAGTCAGTGAATCACACAAGTATACATGAAATAATGTGATTAAAGAGTATTGCGTCTTGATCCCACGAGAAAAGAATTAATATATATTCTGAAGGGCGAATCTCCAGTTTACTAAACATTTAAACCTAGTTCAGCGTGATCACAAACAATATATGAGTTTTTAGAGATCCTACTCAAAAATAGAAATAAAATTAACGAAGTTGAAAATCAAAGGAAAACAACAAATGATAAATCTTACAATTCTTCAAGAGAGATAAGGCTCGTTTCTCTGTGATTTTGGAATCATGGTAGTTTGTGGTATTTAAAATATATGACATTGGGTATACTCAGTGATTTAAGGATGAAATATGATAATTCTAAAATATATCTTATAAATTTTATAAGTAGAGTTTTTCCATGGTTTAACACTACACACTATGTACTTTATGCAAGTGCACATATCGTTCAAGTAATATAGAACTTTCTTTAGTTCACAGTATCGATCCCACAGAGAAGATTGTTAAATTTTAAAAAGTTCAGAAAATTTCTAATTGAATAAAAAAGTCTTAGCTTGGAAATAAGTTCGATTCAGGTTGTGCTAGAGAATTCTACCAACTTATCACCAATCCTATAAATTTACTATAAAGCTAATTTTACTAAAGTTAAATAAGTTAAGAGAATTCAAAATATGAAAAATACTCTCCCATTGCAATGAAATTAGTAATTTTGTGTAGGAATGGATCACTTAGAAATTATGTTTGAATTTTTGACAAATAGGAGCATTTATTTTCTTTACCCTTTTCCAAGTGCATAAAGAAATTAGGTTTAACTAGGTAAGTGTTTCTGCCTGTCACTCTAGAAATCTCCAAGTTACTCCCATTAAATTTATCTATATTTATTTGTACTGATCTACGAATTATTTTTTCTTAACCCTATAAAACAATGTGGTTTCTACTAGCTGTTAAAGCCCTAGAGACCCCCCCCCC